TGTACTAAAGGCGAGAACAAACTATACGTGACAAATACAGGGGGGAAAAAAACCACATAACCTTCATTTAGTAGCACCCAAACTCATGTAGCAAGGTCAGTTGTCTCTCTCCTCATTTATTAGTTGGCTCTGAGAGTAGTCAACTCTTAAAATAGATTACAAAGCACCCCCGGTGATGGATTCACATCTTGATTTGTCATTGAGAATCTAAGCACGGGTTGAAAAATAAGCTATGATTTTGAAGAGAGAATGACTCAGAGTTCATTTCCTCTTCAGATTGGAAAACTGACATATAAAAAGGAACCAGGTGGGATGTTTCTTTTTCGGGGAAGACTGTGGCAGAAACTACTGATAGTCTGCTCTCGGAAAGCGACTGGCACGCTCATGACAGTACATGCACGTGAGTGAAGCCAAGACGAACCCTCCCAAAAGCTTGGGAGAAGTTTAATTGGCCAAATAAAGTTCTTAGCAGAATAGAGAGGAACTGAGCCATTTCCACCGGGTTGGAGAATTGGGAAATTCCCGGTAACCTTTGCCCTGGCTGTAAGAGTGGACTGTTGAGGGCAGAAGCCAGATTGAGAGGGGCTGAGCAGAAGAGGGGACTCAAAGAAATGGTTCGGTTGGTTCCCCGTTTAGAGAGAAACCCATCAGGAGTTGGGACACCCATCCAGATCATTGAATGAACAAACACTGCCTGGCCATGCGGATGGGAACCCTGAGAGACAGGTGCTACTGCTAAGTGTCCTTTCATCTTTTCATTTCCTCAAAACCGCAGGCAATTTCACATGGTCACGTCTTTGTTCCTCTTGTCTTCTCTGCCTGCAATCCCGTGACCACCCTCGTCGATCTAATGAATACCAAGACCCTGTTCAAAACCCGGCTCATGTCGTCTTCTCTTTGAGAACTTTCAGTGCGCTCCCTACTCCCCACTCCTAGTAGACCAGTTGCCTCCCACGCACTCAGTAAGCTCTGTGTGGTAACTCTCAGAGCACTTGGTGCATGGTTTATCGTCCCTGCGAGACTCTGAACTCCCAGGGAAACAGGAGCAGATGCATCCTTTCCACTTGGGGATCTGGCATGCGGGCTGGCACACAGCAGACTCCACAGAGTCCTTTGATGAATAAGGAAACCTAACCAAGTACAGCACTGCATGGTTTAGATATTTTTACATGTAGCACCTATCCTTTTCATCCATCCAACCAGTGGAACAGACTCTATGATGTACCAGGCACTGAAATGTGAACCAAGGATACAGACTGGGCCCCCACACCCCCCCAGGAGAACATAGAAAATAACCAGGCTCAGAGCAGGGGTCAGGGAAGTCCAGGTACTCACAGGAAAGGTGCCTCCCACCGTTTTCCAGTAGGTTCTGCCAACTCAAGTCTGTTGGTATAAAACCTGTTGGCTTTATACCAGTCTTCTACTTTTGCTTTATGAAAACAAACTTCTACATAAGGCAGAACAGACCTCTTTTTTCAATGCATGTTGAATTCACAAAGATAAACATTCCTATTTACACTGTGAGCATACACAGACTAACCTGAGGCTCCACAAGCTGAGGGAAGGGAAGGCATATTTTTGATGACAGTTCGTGCTGTAAATATTGCCACTTGTCTCCTCTTTGACCTTGGGCTGACAGGACCACATTGGGGGCATCATCCTGGGAGCTAGACGCCTCACT